TTAAAATTTTATTCAAAACGCTAACGCTAATCTCTAACGCTATTCCCAAACAAGCCCAAACATCCTCTCCAGTCTCCACGATATCAAACGTAGGATCAGACGCTTGAATTGACAAGCGAACAATCGGGATCGTAGATTTCCCAATAAATGAAAAATAAATAGAGCTAATTAAACTTTGTCATTGATGACCTTCCTTGTTTGAATTGGAGAGCAAAAAGGGGTGCACTACCTGTTATCAATCTCCATATTGCCCATTCACACAGCCAGCGCCATAGGTGCATCTTTAGCTATTAAAAAATCGAGAAAACTGAATTGAAAAAATACCATACCGTACCAATGCAAACCGAATGTTTGGTTCGGTATTTTGAAACACTACGAGGTAACTTCACATATCGAAAATCTCAAACCGAACATATATACTAATATCTTATAAATATAATAATCTTTTTATATTATTTTATTGAATAATAAGTTTACTTTTAAAATTTTCCTCAAATTTCATTATGTGCACATTGTACATTTATTTTAGTTTAATTTTTTTAGGAGAATTTAAAATTAGTAACACAAATTTGAAATATCATTTTATTATCATTCGTTCACTGTAGTTTATGAGATATGGAGTATAAACTCAGTTTAATAAGCATTTATTGCATTTAATTTCTTATTTTTTGTTTTTTATATTTTTTGTCTAAATATATATACTTTCGAATTATAAAAGAATAAATATTTTTGAAATATTTTAAAGTTTAAATTAGGTGCGCATGTTTTCATCCCGATTCATCCTTAAACCGATACCGAATCATATCATACTGAACCAAAATTCCGGGATCAAGATCGGTACGACATAAAATCACATATAGATATCAAACCGAAATATTTAGTACGATATCTGTACGGGCCGGGCTAAATATCGTACCATGTTCACCCCTACTAGCTAGTCCCAAGCTGCGAGGTGCACAACAAACAAAGTGTCATTGGCTATCCCGCACTACAATGCCCGCCTTCGCGGTCATTTTGGTCGGGAAACCAAAAAACAACATCGAAAAATCGAAATCAAAATAGACAACTAAAGAAAAGAGTAGTGTGTATATAGTGTAATCTTATTCAATCAATGCCATGAATATTGTCTACGCTTATTTGGCCACTTTCCACTTCATATTTTTTTCTTCTTCCCGTCTTCGTCTCCTAAATACGATTTCTTTTATGTCACCCCGCAATTGTTTTCGAATTGAAGTAGTCAAAGAGACTAATTAATTATATTTAATACAAATTAATGTTAGGTAATAATGCGACCTTGGAATAATACAGCTGATGGTGTTATGTATCCCGACTTCCATTTTTTTATATATCTTCCTTCATGGATATATTATGGATTTCTAGCTAATTTTTATTCTTCCCACCACTTTGGTTGATTTTTCTTGTGTGGGTGTTTAGCTAGAAATTAAATATGAACTCTCAAAAATATGTATACTTCTCCGTTCCAGTGTAATTGTCTAATTCGATTTTTTCGTGTCAAATTGCACAAATTTTGAATTTCAATTACTCTTAATTTGTATTGCGCATTAGTACAATATAATAAAATAAAAATTTTGACAATTCGCAACTAGATATATCTAATAAAAGCATTTTTGCACTAATATATATTACTATTTTTGTTTAACTGAAGGTCAAAGACTCAAAGTTCACTCTGTTTGATTGAAAAAAATCAAACTAGACAAATACACTGGAATGAAGGTAGTATTTTGCTTGGTTCGCATTTGATTGTTTGTTAAGTTTGATCTTTTCAATCAAATTAGACAAACTTTTATCATTAGTTAAATAAAAATTATCCTAAATATTGGTGTACATATTAGTACACAAATAGTTTGGTTAATTTTATCTTATAAAATATTTTGATATATTTACTATTTTTGTATTATAATTAATTTGTAATGCAATTTAGTATCTGTCCATATATACTTTATTAATACAATGTAACAAAAGAGTCAATGTTCTAATGAGATTTGAATATGTAGTATCGGTTCGTACATACTTTATCAGTTTATCTATCACACCTGTGTCGTTGCTCGACCAAAGGTCTTTAGCAATTATTTTATTTTGTTAATTTACAATGTAATATTTGTTTAATTGATTATCATACTTCACCTAGTTTGACTATGAAAAGTCAAATTACACAAAAAACACTAGGACATAAGAAATATAGATTTTCAAAATAAAGTTTATAGTTTTATTCTACAAAATTAAAGAAAGGGAAAATACTTAACTAGGACTAAATCATGTTTCATGTCTCAAAAATAGATTTTTTAATGTTTTTCTATTGACATAGGAATTATAAAGAATACTATGTCAATATATTAGACTTGTACAAGCTCGGGCCGGCTCGTACACCCTGCCCTTAAAGATTTTTCAACTACATGAACTCATGCGGATCTGGCAGGCCCGCAACATATAATATGGACATGCTTAGGTTTAGGTTAGCCCCGTTTGTGCTAGCGCAAACGGGACCTATCTTAAATTGGATTACAAATTTTGGGACCTATCTCTCGATACTCATAATTTTTATTTATGTGTGTGTGTTTTTTATTATATGATAAGATAAAATATTTTTATACCAATTTTTATATGATAAGATAAAAAACACACACAAATATAAAATTATTTTTATACCAATTTTTTAAAAAGCAAATTTTCCACATAAATAGGAAATTATAACCCAGTTTGAGAGAGAAATAGTGTAGTATTTTAAGAGAAAGGATATGTTATTGTTGATTTGAATTGCTGGTGTCGTCTCTCAGTACTACAGCATCAGTCACACCCTTCCATGTGGCGAGTAATACAAAAGAGGCAAGAAAAAAAAGAGAGAGTTCACACCAAAAATGTCAACCGATTGGATTGCAAGCAAAGAGAAATATTCATTCATACCGGTCCTAAATTTCAAAAGAAGCAAGTTGGAGGGAAGCAGTGGCGCCAGTGGAGACTTTCTTCGTGGTTGATACGTACATCATATCGGATAGTGAAGAACTCCGAGCGTTCTTCGAGCTCCAAGAAAGGAGAGACAAAGAGAAAAGGTATTTACACATAGAATTGTAAACTGGTCCCAGAAACCAACATTAGTCTCTTCTGCGCACTTTATCCTCACACATACATGCCCACAGAACTTCCCATGAGGTCACCTATCGCAGAATTGCTCAAAATTAAGCATGTTTAACTTTGGAGATTCTAAGTGATGAACTTTCGAAATGAAGATGCATCTTATTTGTATGAGTAGTACTATCAAACCTTTTGAGCTCTCTTAATTCTCATCTTAACACGGGTTATTACATATTTTGTGCGGATAAGTCTTTGCATAAGATCATCTACCTCGAACGAAGTGTCAGTCAACCTCATTGTGCTTTGTTCACTTGTGGAATATAAGATATGTTGCGATATATGTAGCGCAGTCGTACTATCACAACATATAGTCATCAGATCAATATGGATAACACCAAGTAAGTGAAAAAGCCCTTTCTACCATTTTAGCTCGCATGTGGTAAGAGTCAAAGCCCGGTATTCAACCTATGAGGATGAACGTGCCACAATACTTTATTTCTTCAATTTGTCTTCTAAGAGACCGAAGAATCTCCAAGCTGAACGAACCATCATGTCAAAGATTGATGAGTGATCGATCAAGCATCCTGTCTAAACCATACCAGCCCGCGAGATGTAAATTATTCACAGAAGACAAAAGAATACCTCGTCTATGACACCCCATCAAGTATCGAACCAGATTCAGGGTCGCATGCCAATGATCCGCACATAGCTCCTTCAGGATTTTTGCCAAAGTGTGCACTGCATAAGATAACTCAAGACGGACATATGAATAAACCAACCGTCCATCCAGGCGGTGATAATTTTCAGGATCTTCAATCAGAGGGCTCTGAGACAGTGACAATAGATTATTTTCTTCCATTGGAGCGCCCAATAGTCGCGAGCCAAGCATACTGATTTCCTAAATAATATAAAGTACATGTTTTTTTACAAAAAGAAATACAAGACGACATGCGGGCGACCTCAATCCCCAAAAAAAAAATTAAAATACCAAAATCTTTCCTATGAAAACACTCAAACCGATAATCCTTAAATAATACTCCCTCCGTCCCAAATTATGTCACATTTCTATTATCGAGGCAAAATATCAAGTTTTTTCAATTCATTTTATTTACATATTGGTAAAGAAATAGAAAATAAAAATTACATATCGAAAAACTACATGAAAAGTTCTTCGAAATAAGAGGTGCCAAGAATATTTTATTTTATCAAATAACCAAGGAAAACGTAGAAATAAACCAAAGTTCTCGCGACTGTTCAAAAAGCAAACGTGGCAAATAATTTGGGACGGAGGGAGTAGTTTGTTAAGTACTCTGTACTCATTAGACTTCGGTCCAATAAATTTATAGCACCAGAAATCGTCCCCCCTGCACTGGTTTCATTTCGAGAGAAATACTAAAATATGAGTAAAATATAAAAAAATATACCAAAAAAGAATTTACATATTTTTATTTCTAAAATAAGAATTAGAATATCACATTATCACAATACAAACTATTATTTTAAAAATAAAAATATAGAACCTTTATTTTGATATTTTGTGTATATTTTACTCTTATTTATTTTCCATTTCACTCACCTCTCTTAGCTTCACCCATGCAACTCCATTCCGGGTTTGGAACTAGAACCATTTCCACCGTCTCGCCCTTATTTGTCCCACCAAACTATGGAAATAGATCTCTGAGATTCGTACTCTACCAAAGTACAATAAGTGGTTCACGCGCGTTCAAAATTGAAATCGTCAAAAAAAAAAAAATATCGAAATTTATAAGGGACTAAATATTATTGACTGTTGACTTCTTACCAGCTCACAAAACCATTATTACTCCCGTTTTCTCAATTTCAATTTCATTAGCCTCCACGTCTACGGAGAAAACATATATACACGGCGTCTGTATGTATCGTTTCGCAAATACATATTTACAGTCCTATATATGCGTAAATAATCTCCCAGCTTCGTGTCTCTGTGATTTAATCTCTCCTCAATTAATTAATTCTAACATTATTAAATTCTCCGGATCTCCGATCGGTCGGAGATGAAGATCAAGCTGGATTCGCTCTTCCCGGGCTGCTTCAAGCAGATGCGGCCGGAAACCATGCCGGCGACGCCGATGAAGCCGAAGAAGGCGGAGCCGGCCCCGGCGGCTAAACAGGCGTCGTCGTTTCACCATAGAAGGATCTCCGCGTCGGACTTCAGCTCCTCCGCGCTGTCGGAAGATCTGTCCATTTCTCTGGCGGGCTCCAACATTCACGCGTTCACGCTCCAGGAGCTGCGCGTCATCACTCAGAGCTTCTCCAGCGCCAATTTCATCGGCGAGGGCGGGTTCGGCCCGGTCCACAAGGGGTTCATCGATGATCGGCTCAGACCGGGCTTGAAGGCTCAACCGGTTGCCGTTAAGCTACTTGACTTGGACGGCTCCCAAGGTCACCGAGAATGGCTGGTAAGGAAACTGATAATCCTCTTTTCATACTAATTCCTTCATCATATTAATTTCCAAATTAATTTTATTACTCTGATTTTACACCTATTAAAAATTATATTGCATGATTTTTCAAATAAATCTCAAACGAACTTATGTCATATTACTCGGTCCACCATAGACCTTTCCAGTCACTATTCACAGGGTCAAACTTTACTCACTTTGTTTACTCAATTTTACTAGTAATTTCATAAAATAATATAGTCTTGTCACCTCTAGTTTTGTAGAATTTTTCATGTAGTTTATTACTATATAAATTTTATTTTAAAATTTTACTCCTATAATCAATTAAATTGAATTGAAAATAAAGTCGGTCAAGCCTCGTAACGCGTAATGGGAAGATCATACATGGACGGAGGGAGTATAACATTTGACTATCAATGACAAAAAATCTAGTTATAAGAAAATTATACTCCGTCTACAGTAGCTCCATATATTTGTCCGGTTTGAACTTCAATTAAATAAAAACCGTAATGTATATTTGTATAAAAATACTCCCTCCGTCCCGCTATATTCGTTCACTTTTGACTTTTGAAACTGTTCATCTAAACACTTTGACTCATCAAATTCTCTCAATGTGTAAGCCTAAATATAGCCATGTGTGATCTTGTTTGATTTGTCTTAACATATAGATTATTAACATGTAATTTCTATAATTTTTTAATATACAAATTACAAGATAAAATGGATTAAAGAAGTGTATTGGATGGTGTGCAAAAATGAAAGTGGACAAATACTCTGAGACGGAGGGAGTAATTATCTTGTTGAAAATTTTTAAAACTTATTTTATTATATAAATATACAATACAAAGTGAGAGTGATTGAAGTTCAATGTTTCATCAGTTTAACTCGAAAAAATCAACTCGAAAAAGTCAATGCAAGAGAGTAATTTATTTAAATAATTACTGAGTTTTTTTAATTAACATTAATTTTTACTTCGTTTTGAATTAGACGGAAGTAATATTCTTGGGACAATTGAGACACCCACATCTTGTAAAGCTGATTGGATATTGTTGTGAAGAAGAGCATAGGCTTTTGGTCTATGAGTACATGCCAAGGGGTAGTTTGGAGAATCAGCTCTTTAGAAGTAAGCCATTTATTGCCCTTTCATATTCCATTCGGTAGTTCAAAAATTATCTTCTCACTTGACTTTACATAAGTCTTAAAAATATTTTGATTTTTCATATTTATGTTTGACTTATTGCAAAAAGTGTAATAAAATGTAGGTATAGATAATAAACAATATGAGTAGGTAAATGTAAGAGTAGTTATGTGATTTAAAGTATTTATCTAAATAAGATATGGAAAGATAATTCATGGGCAAACATGAATATGTGATAAATATTTTGATTTCTCATTTGACTTTTTTCGGTCAAAGTTTGTAAACTTTGACTATGATATGTGGAAAAAATACATTGTATTAGGATATAACTTTAATATGAATATATTCATTTTGAAATATAATTTTCAAATATCAAATTTTTATAAAATATATCCATGTATAAATAAAGATAATAGTGGTCAAAATGTAATCTAGGAGACCGTAAAAAGTCAAATGGGAAAAACATTTCCGGACGGAGAGAGTATATTTCATCTATTTTCAATTAACATGAAATTTAAATTTGAAAACTGAAAAAAAGGTTAATGGAATCTTTTTTCAAGAAAGGACTCAAATGGAGACATGGAAACAAATAGAGGGAAGATATATGCAGTACTTTAATAAAAGAAGATTATGCGCGTCTATTTAAAGTAATGAGTGATTTGAAGCTGATAGGCTGACCCCACACGGTTTTCATGATCAATTTTTTGGCCTGGTTTAGAAATCTCATTTTCAATTGATGTTGGCCTTTTGAATAATTTCACATTTTTAATACTATTGATTAATTTTGAAATGTCAAAATTAACCAATTTTATTGGATATTCTTTTCAAAATGTTAAAATTAAAAGATGAAATTGTGGTAAATAATGTGAGAAGAAAAAAAATACTCTTTGAGATGAGACTTTTTATTTACATCATATCACTAAATAAATAAATAGATATATCATATTATATATAACAATTGTAGTATATATTATTCGTTCAAAAAACTCTTTAAAAATTATTTTATTATATTAATGTGCAATATAATTTTCATTTAATTGATAGTTATAATTCATCCCATTTAATTGAAAAAGGTAATTAAACCGAACTAATACAATGGAATTAAGGAATATTCCATCGTAAAGGCCAAAAAAATTGGGTTACCCAAGTTTCCTTCCTTTGTACTCACTCATTCAAATATTCAATTAAGAGATAACGAATTTTTTTATATGAGATTACTCCGTATAATGTCCGTGACTTTTAGATATATTAAAGAATCAAAAATTCAAAAATGAAAGTACATATAATATTTGTACCCATTTAATCAACTTTTAATGTACGTAAAAAGTTATAATATATAGTTACTTCTTTAAGGACGAAAAGAGTAATAAAATGGAAATAAATATTGAGCTTGAAATATGCAGGATATTCGGCATCACTCCCATGGTCAACAAGAATGAAAATTGCTCTCGGGGCAGCCAAAGGTCTGGCCTTCCTCCATGAAGCTGAAAAGCCTGTCATTTTTCGCGACTTCAAGGGATCCAACATCTTGTTAGACTCTGTAAGTAGTATTATTATCATCATTATTATTATGAATAATTATATACTCCCTCCGTCCTAAAACTTTCTTCCCAGTTTGACTTTTCCCCATTTTTAATTTTTGGCTTTGACTTCAAATTTTACCCCTCTTAAAAAAAGATTTTTTGCAAATTTTTTTTTGCAATCATTCAAAATATAGAGTTAGAAGATAATTGGTGTAAATACATGAGGGTATTAATGTCATTTGTTATCTTTTTTTTTCTAATGGGAAGGTAGTTTTAGGACGGAGAAAAAGGGGAAGTGGGAAGAAAGTTTTAGGACGGAGGGAGTATATATTTGGAACCTAAACTTTTAAATGTTTGTTACTAATTAAATCAAATCAATTCGTATTTTTTTTTTGGTATGGCCAGGATTACAATGCCAAGCTCTCAGATTTCGGACTTGCGAAGGATGGTCCCGAAGGCGATGACACTCACGTCTCGACTCGTGTGATGGGCACCCAGGGTTACGCTGCCCCCGAATACATCATGACCGGTAAACCCTCCTTCAATGAAAGTATCTTGATATTTTCAAAATTTACTCAAGTATAAATACTAAAAATTACTTAAATGCAAAGCATTCCACATCAGAAAAGCTTGTGAAAGAATAATGAGTCAAAACAAAGTTTTTAATTGTGCTTAGACATGGCGAATAGTTCAATAAACTGACCAGCCCAGCCAAAGACCTTCTGGTTCAGCGGCATTACTGTGACGCTTTCAAATGGGAGGTCACAATTGAACTGTAGAGGGACAAGTAACTCCACGTGCTTCATTAAGTTGAAAATCTATGAACAGATGTTACGTTGTAATAGAGTTAATAATGTTAAAAAATCGATCAAGTCGTATTCTTGTAAGTTCAAATTTGACCCATTCTTAACAAGTCATTTAGGATTCGATCAACAAAATCTTTATTCAAACCCCTCGTATTTTGAGACCTGTTTTTTCAAAACAGGTTGGAGGACTACTCCACAAATCGGCAATCTAATTTAGAATTAAAATATTGCAGGGCACTTGACCCCCGCGAGCGATGTGTACAGCTTCGGAATCGTGTTGCTAGAGCTTCTAACGGGACGAAGGGCGATAGACAAGACCCGGTCACACAGAGAACAAAACCTGGCAGATTGGGCCCGCCCGCAGCTGAAGGATGCCCGGAAGCTCCGGCGGATAATCGACCCGAGACTCGAGGGAATGTACTCCGAGGAAGGGGCGCAGGCGGCGGCACTGCTGGCGTACGACTGCCTGAGCCACCGGTCAAAGTCCAGGCCGACGATGAGCGCGGTGGTCAACACGCTTGAGCCTTTGAAGGATTACAAGGACGTCTCCATGGCCACCTTTGTCTACACCGCCCCATCGGCGCAAAAAGAGGCCAAAAAGGAGGGCGGGAGAGATCAAGCGGCGGCCGGGGAAGACGAGCCCAAGGAAACGGAGAAAGGGAATGACGACCGCCATGGCCGCCACCGGCAAGATCATCAACAGAAACACAAAGTAGTAAGGCCGAACCAATCTCATTTGCATCATCAAGTAAGGAGTATATGATTATAAGAGATTTGTATATCGAAATGTACATGATGCGGAATTTTTATTACTTGTTATAGTTATTGACGGGTTTTTGTATCAAAGTAAATGTGGGAAACAAGTATTAAGGCCTGAGTTTCATACAAAAAATGTTTAGATTTTAATTGAAAGGATTTGAGGTTGCGTTCGCCAGATCTAATCTGATTTATTGAAGATCTGATATGGTGTATTCTAACATGATCTAGTCTGATATGATCTGATTGTAGCTACAATTAAAGTTATTTCTGATCTGATTTGATTTAGTTTGATCAGATCTAGTCTGATCTGATTATAATAAGAATAAGTAATAATCAAAAAAATAAGTTGAACGGAACGATGCCTAATTAATTACTGTATCTGGATAACAAAAAGTAGTACACTGTAATAATCTTTTATTGTTATCATAACTTTTTTATTTATTTGCCCAAAAATAATAAGCAATGTATATGTATCAATCAATTAAAAAATGCAAAAGAAAATATTTTACCGAGTAATAGCTTTGATTGATACGGTGAATGTTTTATTAATTTCATTACATTTTTCATGTAAAATACAAGTCCCAAAATTTAATTGAATATTCTAAAAATAAACGCGTATATTTGTTGGGTCAATCAAAATTTGATGATATTAGATCACAAACAATTGAACATAAATTCTTCGACCCATACTGAACTAGAAGTAACTCAAACACTAGTTTAGAGCATGTTCTTTAATATTGGAAAAAAAGAGCTAAATGTTTGAAAGAGTGGAAGAAACTAGAAAAATTTAGAAGAAACTGATGTTATAATAATAATATTATTATTATTATATTATTATTATTATTATTTACACCAAGGTTCAAATGACATTGAACCTTGATGTCATGGGATGACCCGGGAGTGCTCCGGTGCCCCGTTCGTAAAATTGACGATTCCTACCCCCCTAACCCCCCCGGTAAACNTTTGACTCCAAAGTCAAAATCAACTTGTGGGGTGCAATTGAAGGAGGTGGGGGGTTGTGTTCGGGTCGGGGCCGGGTGGGGGGGTTTACCGGGGGGGTTAGGGGGGTAGGAATCGTCAATTTTACGAACGGGGTACCGGAGCACCCCGGGGTGGTTGATGTCATTTGAACTTTGCCCTATTATTTATCATTTTTATCATCATCATCATCACATAACCTTAATGAATGTCTTTAAGATAACAAAAAATATTGATATTTTTCAAATACAAAAAACTACTTTTGCAAAAAAATAATTATAATATAAAGTTAGCATAAATATCAAAATGTTAAATTTTAAAAAGTTTTTGTGGATATGTTGCACCTCAATTTATTTGTGCATTATTTATTATAATATAATATATTTATAATATTACTTTATATATTATTCCCTCCGTCCCAAAAAGATTGGTACATATTGACTTTTTGGAAAATTAAGGGAGAGATATTTTGGTGTTGACTTTCCAAAAATACCATTGATGTGATGGGTAAAAGTAGGATGTGATGGGTATATAATTAGGAAAAATGTATGATGTGATAGGTAGGGTATGAAAAAGTAATGGATAAAAGTGGTTTTTTAATAGAAATGTTACGGACTTTATGACACGCAGTTTTTTCGAAACGTGTCGGACTTTTTGGGACTGAGGGAGTACAAGATTTTGTTTTAAATATCAGACATGTCACATAATGTAATTAAATCTATTTTTTCTTTCAGGATTCACTTTTTTTTCATTGTAAATCCTATTTTTGGAATAAACACATATAACTTTCTATACATTTTTTATGTTTTACTTATATTTCATTCTTTTTCTCTAAACTAATTTGACTTTCAATTTTTTTAAATAAAAATTAGAAAAATGAGAAAATTTTGAATAATAAAGGGAAAGGTGAGAACTCTTATATAAAGTTAGATTAATAAAACATTCTATATAACTATATTATCCATAATTTTTTAATATAATTTAGAAATATTGATGTTTTCCTATTTTATCATGTAGATTAATATATAAAAAAATGTCTTATTCATTCGTTCAACTAGTTGAATCACTGGTTCTACTAGTTGAAAACAAATGTTTAAACCACTGGTTCTACTAGTTAACTGGTTCAACCAGTGAATCAGTACCTAGACCGGTTCGATTACCGATCTGATTCTGAAAACTATGAAAAAAGTGAATAAATTGCGGCAAAAGTTAAAAGGCAATACGTTCAGGAAATAATTCTAAAATTAAAATCTGCCCAATTTTTTTAATTGTTGGTTAAATTTTCAAAAATAGCATTATTGATTCATCCAGCTGTAAATACGAGTATAATTTACCCAAGTTCAAACAATGCAGCGAAATTGGGGGGAAAGGACTCCAAACTCCAAAGCCGCGAAAAGGGCTTAAAATGTCCAACGCGCTCTATGAACTTTTTACTCAAGACTCCGTATTATTATCGCCATCCTATTTTTTAGGGTTAAAAAAAGAATTTATAGTGAAGAAATTAGATTAAATAGTACACATTTTGTAAAATTAAATTAATAAAACTTCATTAATTAATTAAATTTAAACAATAATAATTCATTAAATAAAAAATTTACACTCAATAAAAAACATTTAATTAAAAAATTACATTAACTAAAAAATCAAATCAAATTAAAAAACCGAAGCAAACCAAAGAGATATTATGTGTTTTTTTTAAATTTGAAATAAAATTGTTAGTTTTATTTTTAGAAATGATGAGTTGATTTACAGAGGAGATTTTCTATTAAGTTTGTAACGGCTTTGTAGCCATTTGAGTGAAGGACTCGCTGCAAATACGTCCGTTAAAAGTTTAACGCAGTGAAATGACGCCCAGATGAAGCCCCATGAGGGCGGCATTTAACGCCCCAGCGCCCCTCACGAGTTAAAAAGACAATGGCACCCCCTGACATTACCCATTGCTAGTGTCCATACACATCTTACTCGTCCCACAAATCTGTTGTATTTGGTCCAAATGGACAAAAATGTCATTACCTTTATTAAATCTAACCTAGCTAATTTATCCAATTCCTTTCTGTGCTCTATCTATTTTAACATTTTCCAAATCGTACCCGTTTCAACTGTCGTCGTTTTATCACGGTCAAACTTCTAGGAATTCATTTTACTTCAAAATATATTTAACTACTTCAATTTTACATTGTCCAATATTTTTCTTTGGTTGGAGGTAGGAGGTATTGATGTAGCAGGCAGCGTTTACTTTAAGTAATTGACTAATTGATTTCCTATAATTGTGGACATTGTCCCACACAAAATGCTGCACAAAGTTTGGTGTTTATGCCCATTATTATGTTCCAATGATTTGGTCTATATAAACCTGAGTTGCTTTGTGCTTATTAGCCTCTTCACTAATCTCCCCATCTCTGCAAATACAAGTTAAGAGATGGGTAACAATATTAACAATAACAACAAAAAAGCGCCCTCCGCCGCCGTGCCTCTCCTCCTCGTCCTCCTATGCCAACAGTTTCTCGCGGCGGCAGCGGAGGCAAAAACCTACCTGCTGAGCTTCGGAGGCGAAAAACCGACTTCTTTTGAAACTCGCGCCGAGTGGTACGCCTCTCAGCTGCAATCCCTTTCTCCTCTATCAATTTCCACTGCGGAAGCAGCTAAAAGCAAGATACTGTACTCTTACAATGTCGTGAATGGGGCCGCCGTCTCCTTGGAAGAAGAGGAGGCGGAGGCCCTCAGAGGTTTGGACAACGTCCACCTCATCGAAGACTATTTGCTTAGTTTGCATACCACACACACTCCTGAGTTTCTGGAGCTGGATAAGCTCCAGAACATCGGGTCGTCGAAAGGCTTGTCGTTGTACGGTCATGACGAGCTTTTCAGACTTTCCCAGGACGTGATCATTGGCGTTCTGGACACCGGCATCTCGCCGAACTCCAGGAGCTTTAATGACCAGGGAATGGGACCCGTTCCAACAAAGTGGAAGGGCGGATGCGACGACATCGTAAAGAAGAGTTGCAATAAGAAGCTCATCGGGGCCCGTTCCTTCGTAAATGGGTATAAGGGTAATAATGCCAACAATGACTCGTCCGATAGTCCGGTCGACGTTGATGGTCACGGGACCCACACGGCCTCCACCGCGGCTGGCAACGCGGTGCAGAACGCGAGCCTCTTCGGCTTGGCTAGTGGGACCGCTAGAGGCATGGCCCCGGGTGCCCGCATCGCGGCCTACAAGGTGTGCGGGGAAAGTGGTTGCTACGGGAGCGACATCATCGCCGGCATTGAGGCCGCCATCGAGGACGGTGTCGACGTGATTTCAATGTCAGTAGGCGGGCTACCGGGTCCTTACTATAAGGACCCGATAGCTGTTGCAACGTTTGCGGCGATGGATAGGGGCATTTTGGTCTCGTGCTCCGCGGGGAACTCCGGGCCCAGCGCATCATCCGTCACAAACATGGCCCCATGGATTTTAACGGTCGGAGCCAGCACAATGGACCGGCAATTTCCGGCCGCCGTCACCCTCGGTGACGGCCGGAAAGTGACCGGAGTTTCGTTGTATCCCGGAAGAGGAAAGGGGAAGAAGAAATTCGGTTTGGTGTACGGTGAGTCGTGCTCGGAACCTTCTCCGTCTTTCGCCGGGAAAATAGTGCTGTGCGACAGAGGGAGGGGTAATCAGAGGGTGACGAAGGGGTTGGTGGTTAAAAAGGCCGGCGGAAAGGGCATGGTGCTGGCGAACACGGCGATCAACGGCGAGCAGGTGCTGGCGGATGCCCACTTGTTGCGGGCGCTGGCGGTGGGGAACAAAGCAGGGAACCTGATTAGAGAGTACATTAACAATAACAACAGCAAGACGGCGCCGACGGCGGCGATCACCTTCCAGGGGACGGTGGTGGGAGTTAAACCGGCGCCGGTGGTGGGGTATTTCAGCTCGCGGGGACCTAATTCGGTGACTCCTCAAATATTGAAGCCTGACATTATTGCCCCCGGGGTTAACATCTTGGCTGCCTGGCCCGGTACCGTTCCGCCCACCGAACTTGTAGAGGATAAGAGGAGGGTCCTATTCAACATCGTGTCAGGTGAGTCTTTTCTTTCAAACTTTTATAATATTCCATCATTCTACTAATAAACTTTTCGTTTACTATTCGCATTGTCAAATTTTATTCACTTTGTTGTCCTATTTTTGT